TACAACCAATAGAAACCTCTGCTGATTTCCTGTGTCGCGACTCGTATGCTTAATTCCCAGGCATCTGTCCGCTTCGATCACTTTCTTTTCGCTTTCAAGCTCCGCCGTGTATCCGTGAACCAAGGCCATTCCGCTGCGGGACCCTACGGGGATTAGCTACTTTTCTTCCAGCCTTCTTATCCATAGATTTCCAATTCTCCTCCTATCCAGGAAGACAGCGAACGTGTATCCTTCTTCACCAGTCATTGTATTTGCTGAACGATACCAGGATATGATACATCAGGACATATAAGATCAGAGACAGAGCCTCGTAACGGTGAATACCAGAGGCCAGGCCAAGAATTCAGTTTTAAGGTCACGGGCATAGGGATAGCGGACTATCGGTGCCAAGCAGGAATAACAGCATAACGGTTCCATACTCGACATTTTCCTTCGTGGAGACATGGTCAAGATTTAAATAGAAATCTAAGAGACAGACGTTTATCTTTTAATTCAGGCCATGAAAAGTGAATTAAGCATGTCTAGTACACCGAACGCGCAGGTCAGATCTTTGGATTAAAAAGCGCCAATTATGTGTCCAAGGTTCGATGACCTCGACGCGTTGGAAATTGTGTCGCTATCCAATTTTAAAATCAACCCACCTCCAGAATCATGGATTTTAACCTCGTTATCCTGACGACAGACGCAACTGTGTTTTATACCGTATGATTAGCTCACGGACACAGGTATATACCTGACGTGACGCTGGAAATCATTCTTTCCAGGAACCAGTTCACGCCTGTGACGATCAGATCATGTAGCGACCCACATGGAGCAAGTTTTGCATTCCTCGCGCAAGAAATTGCTCTCTAGTTGCGCTATTGTTTCGCAGTGACGTTCATCCTGGAAATTCGTCGAAGTTGCGATCATGTGAGTTCCAGACATGCGTGATGTGGGAGATATTGGAACAATAGCAGCGGGTTAGGCAAGCACAATTGTTGCGTCTTTCGCTTTTGTCAGTCGTTTCCTCTGCTTTTGTTCACGAGCAATAAATTGCATAAAGCCGTGTGTGTCATGTATGAGAAAAGTGTAAATATCCTTTTGGATTAGAGAGATAAACGTGTGTTCCAGACAGTCTTTGAAGTGGCGAAACTGTTTGCTCATATAAGAAGCAGTCTTATTTCAGAAATGTTTTAGGTTAGAATAACTGCACCTGATACCTTTGACTATATTCAAAGTGACCTAAAAGAGTTACAGTTAAATTATATGAGTAACGAACATGGTGGATTTAATATCAATGAAATGTGGGATAATAATTATGATCAATGTGCAGTAGTGAAGAATATCACTGTATACAGCGACTAAGTCATTCATTTAAACTTGTTATTAATCGTTCACCTCACATCCTCAGTTCATACTGACTAAATAGACAATATATTGTTTGTGCACTAATGGAGGCGACGTTTCTGAAGAAATCCCGTTGCAGGAAGCATTTAAAGTGCCTCTGTACCGTTAAATCTCTAGACTGATCTCATCCTTGTTTCATTTACACAGATATCCAATGTACGACCTCTCCTAACGCAACGTTTACTCGGCGCTTCGAGATATACTTAGGATAATTTAATGATTATGCAATCAGGAGTATCGTCGTTAAATATTATGCCAACTTGGTTAGGTTAGCTGAAACCAGACTTCATTATGCGTATTTGACGCTCTCGTTGGTTAAAAAGTGACGGTAGTTTCCAGACTAAATGGTTATAGGACTTGAATTATTAATTCAAATACTCGATTGCGACACCTATGATTCTATATGCGCGCACTCGAACCGTAAATGCTCACAGAGATGTACCATTACGGTTAATGAAGGTGAAGCAATGTTCTGAAACGATTTTGAAAGCTTCGATCGTGTCGGCCAAGAAATTATCTACGCTGAATCGATTGCGTATGCCATCAATGTCGATCTTACATGTCCTCCTTTAGTTACGCTTTCATTAATATTATATATCGATCCTGTTTAGAACGAAGAAATATATTTTTTGATCAATCGAAAGTGGTTTACCGCTTGGTAGTTCTCTAATCGAACATCAGTTCTCAATTCCAACGAGGATATTCGTGATCTGTGACAAATTGCAAAAAAATCATTTAAACGACGAAAACCAAGGTTTCCCGTAGTGACATAATAATATGGTGACATAAGTAAATCTTGCCTGGTTTCTAAGAACACGAACAGGGGTTCCATTGTTACATGGTTACTGCGTACAACACGGATATGGACGAAAAAGAAGTCAACGTGATCGGTATAGCCAATTTCAGACCGATACTCCTATTTCGTAATGACGGTAGACTTTTCCCGTGTCTTACGTAAACACTGTCGATCTGTCAGCGATAGTCCTTACGGAACTCCATGGTAAAGTAGAGCGAAGGGTCCACGCGACTGAGACGCGTTTTCTCCGATGTTTTCCGTCTCGTTGAACGATCGACTGTCATTAGATCGTTTCTATAGTCTGGCTGTCTCGCAGGATACACGCTTCGCGAGTGATTTAACGACTCTGCCAGGTGTATAATTGATGGATTTTGCAAGCGTTGTTAAAACACTGCTCTTTAGATCAAAGCTCCGTTAACGCCGGTAATTACATTCGCACGTGTACCTTTCTACCTATTAAAATCGCATAATTATGTCGTTCAAACATCGCCCTAGTGATAATCGTTGTTTAATAAAACGCGAATTACACTTTTTTTGCCAACAGAGTATACGAATCGTTCGTGTCGTCGGTCGAAGACGTTTCGCGTGAACCGTCGCGATGTCGCAATCATCGAGCAATAGAGTTTCTAGATTTCGCGACGTTTGTCTAACGACTGTCACGCCGACGAAATCCGCGGGGAACCGAGAAATTAGGGGTTATGCGAGTTCCCGTTCGGCGCCGCTGGGTTCGTTTTCGATTCGTCAACGATGCGGCACGTCATTACTAATTGTCATTGCCGGTGCGTAAAACGGTCAGGCGCAATCGTCGCGAATCATTCGCACAGGAACCTTGGACGCAGCCTCCGAGTTTGACTCGATTGGACGAGCCCATAACCTCCGATTTTTCCGCGGCAAATCGTCGTTGGAAAGTCACCCGCCGGCTTTTAAACGAGGCGACGCGTTGCTCTCGGATCGGTCGCGCGACAACGCGAGTCGCACACACGGCCAGTCCTGATTTCAACTCGGCTGATTTCCCTTTTCCATGCCTCTCCCTGACTCGAGATCCGCTCTCCGATCTAGCTGACCATTAACGTCCGATTCCTCGGGCTCCTGGCTTTCTTTTTCCGAATTTCTCCCCGTCCAGACTGGTCTGGTCGGTTCATCCGTGGCACTGCCACGCCGGTCGCCTATCGCCGGCGAATATACCGCCTCCGCTCGTTTTCCGTCCCGATCTCTAACAAGATAATCGACCGACCGAACAAAAAAAGTTTCTCTTTCTTATCTCGACTGACCCGCCACCTATACGCGCCAATACGAACAACTTTCTTCGCCCGATTCTCAGTGCTGTTTTACTTTTATACGCTATTGTCCATGACCGCCCTCGCGAACTTCTTATCGCGACGTTCCAATTAGCGAGGGGTCGTTCGTTATTCAATGTCCTACTCGTTCTATGCTCTTCCCGGCATTTCGTGACATCGTTACTCAAGAACTCGTTCCCTGAAACGCTTATTCCTCCAGATAACGCGCGATCCTTGCCTTTCCAGCGTTTTTTAATCCAGCTCGCGAATCTAGGTCGTAAGTTCAGGAGACGGTGGCAGTCTCGATCCTCGACCCGGAGTTTCCGAGTGACAGGTATCCACGATTTTCTTCTGTCAAACGACATCTTGGATTTGGAATGTCTTTGACACGGACTGCTTCTCGTATCCTATACGACAGAAGGTAGCGTAAAAATCTATTGTTTGCTAATTTGCAGGCAGATTATTGCATCGTTTTATTCTCGTTTGCAGCAGCAGTGACGATGACAGCAAGTAAAGCGAGTATCTCGATTAATCGAAAAGGTTAGGTTCTCGTTGATGTTCTGTTGATGTCTGATGTGAGACTAATTGCACCTTGCTGGACACGTGTCTCGTAGCATCGAATAGCCGTATCGATAAATCACCAGACGCCTTAGCCACGATTTTCTAACACTCGTAGGCCGACAGGTTTGCGATATCGAATTAACGATCAATCTAAACTTTCCCTTCTCACGAATATCGTATCTGCGTCGGAGGTTGCGGCCTGTGGACAGGTTTTCGATCGTCGTGGCCGTTGGTCTCGCAAACGATCGGAGCTCGTTAATGTCTCGATCGCTGAGTTTCTGGTTCACAAGGCCCAGCCTTTGGTTGGCCGGTAGCAGCGTGAGAAAAGGAAGCAGGTCTGCCTTACTTGCTCTATCGGTGTCTTCCTGTGGGGCGTCAAGCCTGAAAGAAAAAATCGCCTCGCGTTCCAGGAGATTGTTATTCAGGCGTTATGCTAATAGCAGTGCAACGAGCCAAGGAAACCGTTACAAAGCTTCGCACGAATCTATCAATCTGGCCTGCGGTGCGTACAGCGCTCTTCGGACACTCTGGCACTCCGACACTCGTTTTCCGGTTGTTCCGAATAATTTACGAATCGATAAGATTTAGTCGCTCGATCGAGTAGCCAACCTGTCGTAAGCCGTTCGTTAAACTGGTTCAGGTAGATCCTCTAGGTTCTAACAAGCGTGGGTCGAGTTTATTGGCTCTTGTATTTCGAGACGTGCAAAATAGAAGTCGATTCTCTCCGGTGCTAACTACTGGACACTGTTAGCCTTAACACCATCGTTGCACCAGGGTAAAGCGATGCAGTGTCGCATCAAATATGTAGAACGAACTGCATAATTCTTAATGGCCTGATAGCGAGAGCTTGGAGAATAGGAAATACAGTGGGTATGTGAACCGTGAAGAAAATAGAAAATCGAGAAGTTACTTTCACATCGGTGGTAATTTAATCGAACGTAGGAGGATAGAGTTTAACAGGGTTGAAATCGGTTTCACAGGAGACCTGGCGGTTGCGCAAGAATGGCCCTCGCCACTCGACGAGTCCGCGGACGAGAAGAACGACGCAGAGATATTTCGAGCGGTGGTCGAGTCCATGCGACAATGGACGTTGCACAAGCAATTGCATCACAGGACTAAGAGAGAGGTTTCTAAGGTCTGCTACGAGGATGTCGGCTGCTTCGAGGACACGGGGCCCTTCAGCTACCTGGAGATGCTTCCTTCGCCACCGAAAGACGTAGGCACTAGGTACGCTAAGCAGGAAAGAGGATCACGTGCAGATTGGTCTGTACGCGTGACACAAATTACCGCTCTCGTTATAGCCAATCAATTTAGCGATCTGAAGAATCCAGACTTTTGCGCCGGAATTTTCAAGATGCAGCTGAAACCTGTACTCTCTGTTCGTTTTCTCGAACAAACTGTGCGTTTCCTTCGCGATGATAACCGTTATTTAACACGGCGCTGAGACAATGCGATGACAAAAATGATATCTCGAATCGGTGATCTAGCATTAAAGAAGGATGCGCGTAGTTTCGTTACATTTTCTATCAGCCACGCGAAGAGAAGATCTCGGGTTTACTGGCAATTGCACTTGCGCATGGGTGCGTATATAGCACCCATATTTGGGCTGTAACCGCGAAAAGAAAAATTCCGTATATAACGTCCTTCTCTAGTATTTTCAGTTTTTCGATGGAAAAATGTTTCGACCCAATTGCTTGAACTGGTCTGTACGAATATTCGCTTACAATTCACCTAGTTGCGCTGATGTGAGTCTAATGTGATCTCCGTCTTGGTCTTTCAAATTCTTTTTGGCTACATTTTGAGTTTACGAATTATTCAAAATTTTGCTAGAATTTGGATCACATTTTGACGACTAATTAGAATTATGTCAATGAAATTCGACGCGACGTTGTTAAAATTCATGTAACATCTCACGCTTTGTTCCCGATTCGCGTGTCCGCAGATTTCTAGTGTACGGGAGCAGAAAGGCGAGATCGATCCCGATGGAAGTTCCTGCGGAGGACATAAGCGACAACGCATACCGTGCCATAGATCCCGACCTACCCACCAAGGTGATCGTACACGGATTCGGATCCAGCTGCGACCACGTCTGGGTCTACGAAATGAGGTCCGCGCTAATGACTGTGCACGAATGTAACATAGGTTCGTAGCGATTCCTCGCAAACGCGAAACAGTTAGAAACAGCTCCTTTCTCGTATAACGTCGCTAAACATCACGTTAACTCTAGAACTACCAAACCAGTTAGAGTATCCGACTTTAGACTCTTTGCTTTCGCAGTTACAGGAAATATGTAACTCGCAATACGATTAAATTAAAAACGTTCGTTACGACGTAAGCTGGACACGATAAGACTGTAATCGTAAAAATCGAGGAATGCAAGAAGTTGCGGAATCTAATTATGCAAATCTACTTCTTTTCGTCATAATAGTTTAATTATTCAGCTAACTCTCTGAACCGGTGAAACGACTGATCTCCAGCTAAAAGCTATATTTTTGATAATTGGCTGCAGATAATAGCAAATTCAGAAGCGATAACATAATTTTGTAACACACGTCTCATTCGCAATATCTCGTTTGCATGTTAAAAAAGAGCTTCGATTATTTAAAAAATCGATAGAGTAAGGCAGGCTTTATTCAAATCCCGAGAAAAAGAAGCAAGAAGAGGAATGCATGTCGAAAAATTTATAGTACCTGTTATGTCAAAAGGAAGATCGCCGAGTCAAGTGACGAAGTCGATAATAAAATGCAGGATCGTTTCATCCAGTAATATTTAAAATTGGTCATTTAGGTTTATAGCTACGAGCCATCTGTCGCCTATACGGAACTACATTTTATTGCCTCTAACCATCTGTCCATCCGATCGACGTAAAATTTCTTCTTACTTTCTCATCTTCACGCGGAACGTCTTTTCAGTGTGCGTGGACTGGGGTCCAGGGAGCGCAGTTCCTAACTACGTAAGGGCGGCTGCCAACACTCGTTTGGTCGGTCGACAATTAGCCAAACTGGTCAGAAGCTTGAACGTGCCTTTGGAGAGGATTCATCTAATTGGCTTCAGTCTTGGCGCTCACGTGGCTGGATTCGCGGGCGCGGAATTGGGAAACGTCTCGAGGATCACAGGTATTGCAACAACCCGCGTTTTCTCTGCACGACAGGTTAACGACTGTTTCCATTTCGTTCACCGTTGGATGCAGTTATTGCGCCGGAGTTGTGCAACGTATTACGGACAATCGCAATCCTGCTATCCTTCGAGAGTCACGTTCTCGATGGTAATCGGGGATAAAAGGCTGTTTCGACTAGGTACGAGGCTTTCAATCAATGGGAAGAACGGCTGCGATTATTTATTAAGATTTTTTCACCCGTTCACTCGCACCTGTCTGGGTCGAGTAACCGGCACGATTTACGAAATCGCACAGCATATGCAGGTTACGCTTTAATAAGTAAATTGGGTCAATCGTGGCGGCAGAAGTGCATTCGCATCGTTATAAACTGCACATCTCGGGATAATTTATTCAAATGAGAAACGGTGACAAGGATCGGCACTCGAAGGCAGTAGGCGAGCATCGAGGGAAGTTTGAAAAATCGCGCGAGATTGAGTAACCTCGTGAAAAATATCTCGATCGACCAACCATTCACCAGAAACTGTAACGAGGACTTTTGCAAAAGCGCCAGGAATGTAAACGTATGCAACTGCGATATTTTCTTCGTTCTCCACGCGCCAACGAGTCTGTGTAACAAGATCGAGCCAAGTTTTCACCTTTCGGACCCATTTTTCTCTCTCGTTATGTCGTTTCGAAACGAAAACACAATTATCTTTTCGTCTTTTTCAAAGAACCAGTTGGATCTCCTTTTTCGCGATTTTCAATCCGTTGCTCGTTCAAGGATGAAGCTTCCTGTTTCTTCTGTTCGTTGGGTATTACCTTGATTATATAAAATTTGATCCGTATTATAGGTAATACCGGTCTCGTGCGAATGACTGATAATTTAGAAGCTCGAAATCATCGTTTTGCATTGACTATTATAATCAAGGATGAAGACGTTTTCTAAATGAAGATGTTGGCTGATGAGCCTCGTCATTCACGAGAGTAGAATCTTAAAAGAGTTATCTTTCTGCCTTTTGCTAGAGAATCGATTAATTCTTTTTTCCCCAATTCTTCTTTGCTTACTCGTTCAAGCATAAGGCTTCCCATATTTATTCGAATTATTTAGCAAATGTTACTTCGATTATACGAAACGAGATATTTGTACGTAATATAAGCTTCGAAGATGATAGGTAATTTTAATAATTTTAATTAATGACTGGTTTCCGTCTTTGTATATATACCTCTGCAAGTCTACCCATAGTCTTTCATCCGTTTCGAGATGAAAATAGCAACTAACGAGCCTCGTCATCCACAGGATTAGATCCCGCGGGACCATTGTTCGAATCTCAGGATCCAAGAGCCCGACTCGACAAAACAGATGCCAACTTCGTGGACGTAATTCACAGTAACGGCGAACAACTGTTGCTCGGTGGTCTGGGTTCCTGGCAGCCGATGGGCGACGTGGATTTCTATCCCAATGGCGGTAGAATGCAAACAGGCTGCTCGAATCTGTTCCTTGGCGCAGTGTCAGACATCATCTGGTGTAAGTGTTCCCTCTTTCATATCTCTCATCGTGAAACTCTGATTCATTCGACTTAATCAATGCATCTGATGCATTTCACGCACACTATTCCGCTCTGTTCGCTCGATGCACTTTTGTCAGCGTTTGCGACGGAACCAGGATGAGAAGGAAACAGGTAAAAGCAGGTACGCTTTTCGAAGCTTTCACGAGTTAACGATATTTAACGACGTTCATTGGCCATCCCTTTATCCAGCGATTTGTTCTTATTACGAGTTATCGGCAGAACCTAATCTAACAAGCACGATAAATCAGAGATTAGAAAGCGCGGCGTGAACTTTTTCACGAGTGACCATTCGTTGTTCGGGATAGTGTTACCTTCTCCGCAGCACGGATCGAATTCTTTGCCCGAAAGAAAGCGGGTCACGCTGCCCCCGACATGAAATGTCTCCTAAAGATACGTTGAAAATTCATAAAGACAGGCCAACGACAGCGGTCTCCTTTCCAAACACACTGTCTCACGTCGAATTTGCGCGTTGCAGCGAGCGCCGTCGAGGGCAGATCCCTGTGCAACCATCGGCGGGCCTACAAGCTGTTCACCGACTCTGTCAGTCCCAAGTGTCGCTTCCCGGCGTTTCCTTGCGACAACGGATACGATGGTCTTCTCCGTGGTGACTGTTTTCCCTGTGGCGTGAACGGCATGGGCAGACCCTGCGGTGACATGGGTTACTACAGCGACGAGTCACCGGCCAGAGGACAGCTGTACTTGGTCACGAGAGAGGAGGAACCTTTCTGTGCTCACCAGTACCAGGTGAAGGTGTACAATAGTCGCAGCGAAAGGCCCACCAAGAGTTACGGCAAGTTACAGGTAACCTTGGTCGGTGAGGGACCTTTCAACGACACCTTCGCGATGACGCGAAAGGACGAGGAGCTTCTGGTTGGCTCGATTCTGCAGAAGATCGTTGTTCCTCACCCTGCGATTTCGAGTCTGGAAGCTATCGAGGTAAGCGCTAGGTAACAGCGTGTTTATTTGGCGTAATAAGATATATACGATTGAGTCTTTTATTGTGTCCTAGATCAAGTACACAGCGTACAGCGGTTGGATCTCCTCAGGCTTGGTGTCCTGGAGCATCGATAAAGTCGCCATCGTCGATAGCTTCGGGAAAACTCTTTCTGTCTGTAGGAAAGGCTTGAGTTTAGAGTCCGGAAAACCCATTTATCTTCCTCTCTTCGCTGGCGAATGCAACGTCCCTGCGGAATCAGATAACTCGACGTCTCCGACTCTGGAGCGTATGTTGCAAGAGAAGCAGCAAGGTGGTATAGGGCCGTTCACTAAAGAACAGAATTACGAAACGAAGGAAGGTTTCTCGGTGGAAGCGTTCTCGAAGGAGAGAAGCACGTCGTTGTCCTCGTCGAAAGGTTTGGGTCCGTTCACGAAGGAGCAGAATTTGCGAATAATCGAGAGAAAGGAGAGCTTCAAATCGAACAGCTTCGAAGACACGGGCAATCGCCGCAGCAATTCGAATCCTTGGAATATCGTCGATATCTCTAGCGACGGTGACTCGAACTCCTTGGAAAATTCAGACTCTGAGAAAGGCAGAGGATTCTCCGGTTCTAACTTCTTCGCCAAGACGTCTTCGCCAGACTCTCCGACGGAAGCAACGACGGAGTTTCTGCCAGAAATTCGAGAACCCGTGTTGCAAGTTGACAAAAAGGAAGCAGGAAGGTCTCTGAAATTTCCTGAAATCACGGAGCCTATCCTAAGGCCACGGTCAGCGAGACAGAACACCAGGAACGAAGTGCACAGTCGCGAGAAACAGAAAGACGAGATACAGGAAACTTCCTCGACATCCGGATCTTTTACCGTGCAATTTTTACCGGAAAGATTAGCTGGGATCTTGGCGCAGGCTGAGAGGTACGCGAGACAAACCCTTCTTCCTTTGATCTCGCAGTACACGCCGAGTTTCGTGACTGGCTCGCGGTACGAAGAACCCAAGTACTTTCCGCCCTTGGGAGGGATCACTTCTGAGGGCCATCAAGGGTCTGATGAAACAGAATTGATCACTAAGAGCGAGCAACAAGAGAGACAGAACAGGGACGCCCAAGCTGAATCTTTACCACCCACCGAATCTGTTTCCAAAGAAGAAGTTAAAACGATCAATTCCTCTACCACTACGCCGATAGAGATACCTGCGATCGTTGAAACGATCTATGCGGAGAAAAGTGGATCAAATTCGACGATCATCGATTCGGAAAGTAACGAATGGGTACCCATAGGACCTTCGACTCTAAACACCATATCTAGGAAAGATTTCAATGTGTCCAGGTCTTTGAATTGGGAATACAAAAGGTACAACTGGTCCACGGAGTCGATATTGGAAAGTAGTAGTTTCAAACCAAAGCTGGATGATTGGGTACCCATTACTGTTACGAGCGAAATTCAAATTCCCGAGATACCCAGTAACGTTACCAGCGAGGTTAATTTACCCTACGTGGTTGATCAGCAGACCGGTGCTGCTCAAGTGGAAGCTGAACCGGTAAAAGGTTCTAGAAATAATTCAGAGACTATTACCACGGGGAAAGATGAAAGGAAGTATATTCCCCTGATCGATCCTGACGCGAAAGAATTATCGTCAACAAGCTCGAATGATATTTTAGAATCCAGTTGGAGCACTTCAACGTTCTCTCCGTACTCTCACATACAAAAGATCCCAAGGCCAATAGAGACAAGAAGTAGCAAACTTGGCGCAAGTTCAACGAGGCGAAGCATGGTCTTCCCTTACGCGTATGAGAAGAAGAAGGATCCTAGGACTAGGTACATACCCTTGATACCCGAGGAAGACTTGGGAAGATCTCACTTCTCGATTGAAAGGGAACGTTGAAACGACGAATCGAAAACTTGTGTTTTCGACGATAATTTATTGTTGGAACTATTTTATATATAATATAATATATATATATATATAGCTTCGCTGAAATCTGTTTTTTTTTTCTCACATTCGTTACCGTTATTAATTCTTAGTTATTAGAATTGTTATTATCATCGTCATCTGTGTTTCCCCCATCTGTTTTATTATTTATGTCGAACGGACGATCATAAGAGCGAAAAATCCCACTTTGTATATAATGACCCAATCTTGGAAATCGCGAAACGACTCGCTGAAATAGTATTATATTTCTTTTTCCTCGTAATAATATGTACAGCTAGTGCCTACACGAGCCACGCTCATGGTGGTTCACGTGGACGATAGTCAAAAGTATGGAAGAGATGATTTAAGTGGACTTCTATGTGTATCTATAATATACTTGTTTTTACTTAAAATAAATAACCCTCTTTAAGAAGAAAAATGCGCCTCTCGGTCTTACAAGTCCGATGTACTTTTACTCGTGTACTCTGGTACAACACTCTCACGCCATAGATCTCTTTCTCTCTTTCACGCACACACGCACGCGCGCACATATACATTTGCAGACAGAATTTCTACCTCTCGTTTCTCTCTCTCCCTCTCTCTAATCCCTCGACAATCACCTTTCACGAGCAACCAAGTTTTCAGGATATGCCCACTCCTGATATGTTCGCGACTATTAAAAATAACCCATTCGCAGTCCTTGCTTCAACGTTTCTTCAGGTACCGATTGACGCGTCGAAACAGAACGCATCACTCTATAATAATCGACTCGATACAAAAATAACAGGTACATAACATATTTGTTTCGATAACTGGGAAGACTAAAGTTAAAGGGACTTATTCGTCGATCGATACACTCGAAAATAAAAGCTTCGTCAAAGGGTTCAACGTAAGGTTTCGGTTATTTTCGTATCGGCTCGACGGGGCGAAACAAAAATTCTTGACTTCTGGTCGACGTTGCATTCCGTTAGGCAAGGAAGAAGGGACTGCGAATTATCGAGAACTTACTACTTACATACATATTTAACAAACACGCAGTCTTATCAAGTAGAACCCGTGAACGAACTCTGACAAGTAAAAAGGTATAGTTGCCTATTAGCCTAGTAGAAATTTGGTTCGACTCGTCCCGCAACCAGGGCGACGAAACGATTTACGCTGATGCGCGATATAGTAACTACCCAAATTATATTCGACGTCCTCTGCCACTCATATACGGTATCCTTTCAAGAATGTATATATATATAAGAGAATAATAACAAGATAGAAGATAAACCGTACTTTTAATCGACATTGGGTACCCTCAGTTATAATTTACGATGACTAAGACTGATTATCTCGTATACCAACGAAAATCGAAGGAAATCCAAGGTTACGAAAACGATTCGATGATTATCAAGAGCCTTACAAGGATACTGCATCTGCGTAGAAGAGCACAACTAAAAACTAACGTGCCCCGCGTGCCCTTTCGAGTTCGTTTCTCTGCCCACTAAGCTCTGAGTCAACGAATTCCAATCGCACAACTAGGTAATTTCATCACGCGACAGAATCACGAATTCGAGAGGGCAGTGGACGAGCACGCACGACTTCTTACGCTTCTAGGTACTCACGCACACGCATTCACGCATTCGATAAATCGTCATTTACAATCCGAATTCCATTTATCTTCTCCGGCACACATTCAATGAAACGTTATTTCCAATGGTTCGTTCGTTCGTTTCGCGTTTTATCAACCGCCTCGATACATCGTGATTTCGTACAGGCTACGGTTGTATTCACCTTTATCCTCTCTAACGCTTTGTTCATTTTCTTTCGAACACTTAAGTTATTAGCGCTACGACATACAAAAGATAAGGCCGCCACGATAATACACTGACTAGATCAGTTTCATTTGCTCTCTTTCTCTCCCACTCTTTCGCGCTCGCTTTCTCTCTCTCTCTCTCTCTCTCTCTTTCTCTCTCTCTTTTTCACGGTGTGTGGACCATCGTCCCAACTCGTTTATATCAACAAAAATATTCAGGACACGGTATCTCTGTCAACAAAATATACTATGTGTCTCGTTTCGCATCCTGAGTATTAATCTACGACGCGCGACGACCGATCGCGGCGTCGGGACGCCGCGCGTTGGGGAAGTATCCATCGCTCGATCAAAACTGTAATTAAAAACTCGTATAAGCATAGGCCTTGACGAATTCTTCTATCTCGCCAATTTACACGATACTGTACACGCAAAAGACGGCACTGCGAGACGATACCGATACGACGAGTAATCGATAAAAAGAACGGAAAAGACGTACACAGATCGTGGCAACGACTCGACGACACCTCTGTCTAGGCTTCGTGTACGAAGCGCGTCTTAAAAATACACGGAAATTAAAATAATTTTGTTATCTTTTGAAATATTCTGATTGCGCGTGAGGCAACGCGTGCCGCCTTTTATCGTACATTGTCGTAATTTGCGGTGTTTACCTCGACATCCTCGTTTTTAATGCAAGAGTAACGCGGCTAAACAATGTCAACTCCGATATCGGCGCCGAAAGTAACGCGTAGAAAGACGAACCAAGTAAGAGGAGACAATTGTTGGGACTTGTAATGCATTAAAAACTGTTTTTAACGAATACAACCGGTAAATTCACATTTCGATTTTGCATGATCGTCGTTAGTAATTGGTAAAAAGTCGGCTGACGTGGGTAAGGACGGAGGTGGCTAACTAGGAACTGCGAGGCACTGCAAAAGGTAAGAACATGAGCAGCGTTTCTACTGGCATTCGGCTGCCGCAGTCTCAAAATGAAACGTGTATTGCTTCTCTCGATCCCTTTAAACGTTTAATTTCTTTTACCTTGCTCTTTCGTTCGTATCTTTTTCTCTCTAAGTTGTATATTTCAGGGAAATACGTTGCCGTTTGAAAATTTCGAGGTATTCCGATCTATACAACGCAAGAAACGTTCCATTTTCGTGCAAAACACTATTGACATATTCTCCGGCGTGTCTAACGTGAAAGAACCGTTTTCGTTCGTTAAATTTCTCGGCTATTGCATCGAGTAAAAAGTTTTTAAAACTGCGTGGACGCGGTGAGAAATGTCGAACGATCGTCTCGCGCGGAAGAGGAACTCGCGCCGATAACTTCAAACATAGTCGTATGGGTCAATAATTGTATGTAGATTATCAAAAAACATCACAGTCGGGTTACTAGATTTTAGAGAAGCGTCCAGCTGAACTCGTAGTTGACTATATTTCCATCGAACTTCAACCAGATACTCGAAACTAGTTAATACTGACCCTGTTCCTTCTTCAACCGCTTCGATCACCGAGTCGAATAAAAATATAATCGTTCTTCGATCCTACCGGCTGTTCTTTCGCGCGCGACCAGATCGTTCGATCCTACTTTCCATCGATCGCAACCCTTTCCCAAGATTTCGTCGCGTCGATATTGCCGTCACTCTTCCGTGGAACAACTCATGTCGAAGCGTTTCTTCGTGTAGGCGCCTCCGCGCTCGTGCGTCTCGCGCGGTGCAGAAATATCGGCAGAAAACCAAGAAACCCTAAGGAACGAACTCTACGACGCGCAAGTGACGCGTATCACTTTTTGTCAAACAAGGGTAATTTGCTGCGCACCGCACCCTCGCAAACGACTAACCTCTGCGCGGCCGAGATGCTGCACAGTGGAAGAGGACCCTCTAAGCTCGCCTTCAACAACGTTAACCTACTAGAATCGTGATCCGCGAGTCGCAGGCTACCCGCTTGCTTCCTCTCGAAGTACTCGACGATTTTGGAAATGGTTTTACTGGAAGAACCGAATCTATCCTCCCAGCAGGAGTCGCCGCCGCCTAAGCTCGCTATGTCTTCCGACGAGTCGGTGTAGATAGAGCTGGTTCGATGATCGTCCAACAAAAACAGACTGCTCGCCGCGGAGCTGCTCAAAGTGGAAGTGTGTCGGCGATTAGGCGGCTCCGGGCTGAGATCTTCGCCGACGCAGCTCCAAAAGCCCGACTCGCAGCTGCCGCGCCTTCTCGGCTCCCAACCGTCCCGGAAAAGTGGGTGGGTGAACAAGCTGGCAGCGCCCACCTTTGTAGCCACCTGAAAACAACGCATTATCATTCCATCTCTAATTAACTCTGCCCGAACGAAATCTCTCCCTGGCTAATTACCTTGATCGCCTAGACACCTCTAATTACTACGCTGTTACTTAGTACTTAAACCTCACCTAAACATTCGCCAGGGTCGTTAAATCGGGAACAAAAGTCACCTCGAATAGGCCTACCTTTCTCTCCCATTTCTTCCTCGCGGTCGGACTGCTCGGCTCCGAGTTCGGCTTCTTCCTGTTCAAGATCTTCGCGATACTGTCGTTCTGCGCGGGCTTGAACTTGGCGATAGCATCGGTGACGCTCGGCCTCACGTCCTCCAGTGACGGAAGCTCCAGGCAGCTGGAGAACAGGTCGCCGAGAATTTTCTTCACGCCACCCAACGCGTGGAACGGATTAGCCGTCATGGGTCTGTAATGCGGGTCTCTTCTGCTTGCCAGCTCTGCCACCCTTCTCGCCGAATGGCATCTCGCTTTGTCGGACGGCGTCGCGTTGTCGCAGCCTCTCGCATCCGCCGATTGACTCCTCAGACGAGCAGTCTTACGCTTCATAGGCCGTCCCTCTCGCGTGATCTCGTCCATGCTGGACATCAGAGCGGGGTCCACGGATTGACGCTTCCCGATGTTGTTCTTCGATACCTCCTCGTAGTTGCTTATCATCGTGTCCAGGCTCGAGGTAATCTCCGGGAAGGTCGGTCTCGATTTTGGCTCGTACTGAAACCAGAGCAACGCGTGCAACCGTGAAACGTTTGTAGACTAAGAATATACGAGGTTCGAGGCTCTACGCGAGAGGTGATATCACGGCATTTCGCAACGCGTGTAAAACGTTATTACCAACGGTGCATGCTATTCGAGACAGATGTACTATGCGTGACTCGGAAGATCATGGACGTTGCGTAGGTTATTCCATGGATTACGTTTCGATAATTTCATCCTTCTCCAAGCATTCTCAAATATACGGCACACGTATCTCCCTTATCGACCAAAGTGTTGGCGTGTGCCGAGGTCAGGGTATCCGCTGATAGCTTCGAGCAGGGATCAGGCATCGGATTATTTATATTTGCGGTCTCACGGGTTACCGATATAGCCGTAAAAGACAGATCACGCGTGATTCTACCTATTAGCCAAAATGTCCGAGTATGTCAAGGTCGGTATGTATCCGCTGTCAGCTTCAGGAGGACATCGGGCATTGGATTACTCGTAATCTCGGTAACCTCGCAATTTGCTAATACGACCGTAGAATGTGGAGCGCGCGAATTTTCTCGATTGACAGAAACGCCAACGCGAGTACAAGGTCTCTGTGTCTTCACAGCTTCGAGCGAAATTAGCCGAAAGAATCTCGTTTGCACGCGTCTCGTCTCCCAAGCAACGCGTAGTACGCGGTAATAAGAGAGCGATCGTAAGAAGAATGCATTGGAAATTTCTAAATCGCGTCGCGAGTATCGCAAAATCGGAATTGCATCCACGGAGCGAAAAAAGTTGAACTCGGTCGTTCAGGGAGCGAAGAGAAGCAAGGGGGAAAAGCACGGAAGGATAGGAAGTCTCGGTAAAGTTCCATTCTACTCACAGTGCAACAATTGAAGGCGAGCTGCAGGAAGGCTGGCGGCGGATCAGCTGCCGCGCAGATCTCTGCCACGGCCAGGTAATCGAGGCCAAAGTTATCTGACCGTGGTAGAACGTCCGGATCGGCCGGCACGCGGCCGATCAGCTCGCAGACCACGATGCCGAACGAGAAAACGTCCGATCTGTGATCGTACCACTGACCCTTGAGACATTCGGGCGACATCCAATAGGGGCTGCCCACCGTGCTCAGCCTGTAGCCTGAACTGGGGTCAGGGATCTTCGCGGCCAGCCCAAAGTCGCCCACCACCGCTGTCATTTCCGACGTGTTCTCGTCCTTCTTGATCAGTACGTTCTTCGACGTGAGATCCCGATGAAAGAGTCCACGGCTGTGAAGGTAGGTCATGCCACGCGCCACGTCCCTCGCCAGGTTCATCCGGATCAGATGCGGAAGAGGCGTGTGCCTCGACATGATCAGCTGCTCCAGACTGCCGCCGTTTATGTACTCTGTCAAAGCGTGCAGCTGACCCTCGTGTACACAGACTCCCATGAACCTGCAACGTACGAATCGGCGTTCGTCGAACGCTGTGAGAACGAGCCACGGAAAAACGGACGAGAGCCGTGTACTCGTTGCCAGATGGCGTTTCTCAGACACCGGCTTTGATTCAATTACTCTCCGGGTACCACGGCTACGCCATTTTCCTCCTAGCATAATTATCAACGTTGTTGCTATTATTGTAATCATCGTACAAGGGATTGGTTAGTCGCGGGAGTTAGCTTCTTGGTTTTTCTCTGTTCTCTGCTCGCCAGCTCTTATTACGTAGACAGCGTGTAATCGAGGCAAGAGCTCGAGCACTCCCTTCGGGGAAGTACACCTCCGGCTCCGCTGTCTCGTCGCTGATTCTCGTCAAACCACGTAATTCGAGACTGGACTTACTGCACTCGAATATTATTTTTAGGGAATCGAGCGAAATTGGGTAATCTTCGCGCGAGATGGCGGATTTGGCGGGATTTTTCATGAAGGTCTATGACCCAGATGTGCCTGCGACTACCATCGATCGACCGAAAGAACGGTGAATAAAGCGAGTAGATATGAAACGCGTTGACGTGTAGGGTCAATGGGTGTTCCTAATCGATACGTCGTGATTAGGGGTGTCCTGGATTGTAGCTCGACTCGAATGATCGCTGATGATATCTGCAAACGCGTCTATCGCTTTGCTAATTGTACGATTTGCTACAACCCTTCGGACGTGGTCGCCAATTTTTTAATACATGGATATTTACGGAGATAAAGCGTGGGATGGCGTGTCGTAGCGTGATTTAGGATTCTTGGCAGCTTACTGGCTACTTTACTGGATAATCTGAATAAAAATTAACGTCAATTTTGCTACTAAAAATAAAATTTAATCGTCCTAGTGTTAGTTAATATCCACGTATACTATGTTTACCCTCGCATTATTAGTAGGTACACAATGCTAGTGTTAAAACCCATCGATTTTAAGGTGTACACGCGTCTTTCGATGCTTCCAATGTATTCCTAATGGTTAGAGTGATTTATGTCGGAAGTAGAATTCTGTGTTAGCGCCTGTGTTGGCGGGGGTGCGTTTTTACGACCATTCGTGGAAAGTGGAAGGTTACGAGGTGTTTGGATATTAGGTGCTTTACAAATCTCCACTGAAATAGTTATGAAACATCACGCTCGACCGTCTCGACAAATAAATTACTGTCAAAGGACGAAAGAATTTCCAGAACAGCAAGGGTGAAATTAATTAAGGGGGTGAAGAAATATTTCCCTTAGCTTTACGGTACACTTGACTGACTTTATTCTCCTCTAGTTGCCTAGAAAAATATTTTGAACGCTTGTGATCACAGCGACTACCGTGTCGTTTGCACCCTTGTTAACCTCATTAGCAAGGCGCATCTAATGCACGCCTGGTCGACGGATCGTTTACTCTGTCTGCTGTCATAATTCGCAACTAATAGCAAGACCAAAGAAGAGCGTACACTCGTAGTCAATAATAAACCCGAGACAATCACCTGACTAGACTTCCCGTAACCATTGCAAATTATCCAACGAGCAATATTCCATTTCCCCCCGATATCGCGCGAATAATGGCCTCAGTTGGAGAAACATGCGAATTTTTTCGACGTGTGCCAGTCCAGCTGGCCTTTTAGGTTCGGATAAGACGATTAAGAAGCCAGTATCGATTCAACACCGTGCTCTCTTAACACCCCACGAGCTTCGAAGCTTCACCTTTTGCCCCGGAAAATGGTCAAGCGCGAGGGTGGATCGGTCGATCGCTGCTCAGAAGCGGAAAATTCGAACAAACTGAGAGAAAGAGAGGCTAGAGGAAAGCTTCTCTATGCGAGACGTGCTTTCCTCTCATTAGCTCTAATTGGCCCTCCACGGGTACCATTCGATCTGGTTGCCGCGCCGTCACACAGGCCGATCTTCCTCTGGGGAGAAACACGAGCAGCGACTCCCTTGAATATTCAACGAACCGCAGTTTCTTTTTTAAGCCAGTGAAAACCTGTTATTATTACGATCGATCAGGAACACCCTTCTCGTTCGATTCCGCACTGCGCGTGTTATATTTATGCGGTGCATTGTTTCAGCAGGGAGAAGATTCGTGACACGGTTTAAGGTGGTCATGTACAAATCCGGGTCAAAAAGATTGGTTATTTTTCTCCACCTCTTTTACAGCTTGTACGTTCGAAGATATACGCGTGTGTAAAGTCGTTTGGTGAAATTCGTGAAATTATGGAAGTTGTAAACGTCCAGGCACTAGCACCAGAATTGCGGATAAGGAAGATACATTTTTATACCTTTTCTTGACTAGAAGTGTAAAAAGAGTAGGAAAAAGTAGGCTAACCTAACCTACAAAGTATTATCATTTTCATAAATTTGTAAAGATTTCACTACTAATAAATTTGTAAAGATTTCACTACAATTTTCGTCTTGACAGCCATCTGAGCCTACATTCCGACAGTTTCCACTATTTCCTAGGGTAAAATCGCGAGTATTTTAGACACATGAATAAATAAGACAGCGAAACTTTCATGTCGAAAAATCTTATGCTATCTTCGAAAAAAATTCGCGAAGTTAGTCCTGATTTTGACCACAATTTGCAGAAGACCCGATTGACAGAGAATCCATTGTAAGCGACGTCAGCAGGTGCGAATATTTGCTTTATAGCTGAGATATCAGGAGGAAACGCGATAGAATCTACGTTGTAGGAAAAGTGAGCCTGTCCTGAGCGACTCAGCGATTCTCGCGAGAGATTAGATAGCCGTGCAGGTGACACCAAAAGTTTGGGTCATAGTGGAGGTTCCTAGGGTTGCATTGAAATGACAGAAAGCTCGACGCGCGAAGCTAAACGTCGCGATAAACGCTAATTAGGAGCCGACTCGTCGTTAAACCATTAAATCTTCATTTGTAACCCGTCAGCCCTTTGACACGGCGTTATCTAGAGACGGGTCTAGGATCCTCGTTAGCTATGCGCGTGAACTGTGCATTATCTGGGAACATACGATGCAATTCGTGGCGCGACAAGGATGCCTATCGATCTCTGAACAGGCGATGGATCGGATCGAGATAAATGAATTACGAAGGAGAGTACGGGATGTCATGGATGGTTCCAACGACATAGCGCGTTTAGTGGATTAACATTGAAGCTACTGCTGGTTGAATTGACCGATGACTCTTATGGATGAAATAAAATGAAATGGATGACTAACTTAGGACGCGCGATTGAATTTTTATTTATCGAATTGATAGTAGTCGTATCTTTTCCTCGATAGTAGGCCAATTTTTCCCTCGATAGTAGTCGTATCCTTGCTCCGATAGTAAATGCAGTTTTACCTCGATGGGAGACCCATTTTTCTCTCGATAGTAGACGAATTTTTCCTTTGATAATAATTGTATCCTTGCCCTGATAGTAAACGCAGTTTTGCCTCGATAGTAGGCGAATTTTTTCCTCGATAGTAGTTGTACCCTTGCCCCAATGGTACACGCAGTTTTGCCTCAATAGGAGACCAATTTTTGCTCCGATAGTAGACGAATTTTTCCTTCGATGGTAATTGTATCCTTGCCCTGATAGTAAACGCAGTTTTGCCTCGATAGTAGGCGAATTTTTTCCTCGATAGTAGTTGTACCCTTGCCCCGATGGTACACGCAGTTTTGCCTCAATAGGAGACCAATTTTTGCTCCGATAGTAGACGCATTTTTGTCTCCATAATAGACGAATTTGGCCCGGCCACTATCGAGGAAAAGTTTATTATCGAAGATAATGCAATTATACAAGACAAAATAAAAAACAGAATGAGTCTAAGAAGATACACGAATGCTAGACACTTACGATTAACACTACATCTATCATAACTGATCAAATGACCGATGGATGAAGAAAGGAAAGTAGAAGAATCTTAAAGGAAATTGAATAAGAGATGTTGAAAAATTGAATATATTTTTTAAATATTTTAAATTTTAAATGAAAAGTTTAAAAACTGTAATTGAAGGTTTAGCGTTAATTAATGTGCGATTAATGACTTACATTCGAGTCTGTGGTTGATATTTGAGCTCTTCCTTTTGCTACGACCTGGATCACGCGCGCGAGCTATTTGAATATCAATACTCAAGGATCAATCGAGCGAATCGAGGATGAAATTTAGAAGAAATCTGGAAATCTGAGTTATATACGTCGTTCAATGAACGAAACGTGTTAAATGTCTGAACTTCTTTTCAAAGACGACATTGCACGTATTTCATAAATATCCGTGAATATGCGCAAATTTGCGGTGTTATGTAATACCTGGCTACAAATGAGACGACACGAATGAGTTAAGTAGAGACTCTGATGGACACTGAAATGGCGTCGCTCAAATCCTCCACACTTAGAATTATCTATATTTCGTAGCTTTAAATATTTCGCATTAAGCAATCGAATGGAAAAATTGCTGATTAACTTTGAATTCTAATTTGGTTCTTTAATTACGACTCGTTATCAATAGAAAACTCGTTGATAGACTAGCTAATCTTTAGTGACTCGAATGATTTTAGAGTGTATTACATAGTGCTTTGAAAAAGATAGAAATCTGTGTAACCATACTAAAAGATCTTTGCCAATATTTTGTAAAATAACATCTTTATAACATCCTTCGAGATTATCGAAATCTATGAGAAAACAGTTTGTTCATTGATAGAGACAAATAGGATCCATCAATTTGCTAGCACAGAGGAAACAATTGTTCTTTACGAGAACTTGATCTTTTCGAAGATCATTGTCCACGATACTTGACAACCGGAAGAACTCATTTCAAATTCGTATCGTACAAGATTGATTAATACTCAAATCAATCATCTTCCGCAGATTATCTCTGCGGAAGATGACATTTGTACTCTTAGACTGGACTGATTTCACAAGCGCGTTATATCGCTCGAATTTTGCCTACAGTCCACGACAAAATACAAGCTACGATTTTCAAAATTTCTCGAGACCAAAACAGTTCAAACAAATATTACAAACTCGTCTAAATATCACCTAAACATCGTCTA